GTTCACATCCCCACCCCACCCCATGCTCAGCGTAGCATCAATGGCGTGTTCAACTTCAAACGAACGTTAACATCCCCACCCCACCCCATGCTCAGCGTAGCATCAGTGGTGTGTTCAACTTCAAACGAACGTTCACATCCCCACCCCACCCCATGCTCAGCGTAGCATCAGTAACGTGCTCAACTTCAAACGAACGTTCACATCCCCACCCCACCCCATGCTCAGCGTAGCATCAGTGGCGTGTTCAACTTCAACCGAACGTTAACATCCCCACCCCACCCCATGCTCAGCGTAGCATCAGTAACGTGTTCAACTTCAAACGAACGTTCACATCCACACCCCACCCCATGCTCAGCGTAGCATCAATGGCGTCTTCAACTTCAAACGAACGTTAACATCCCCACCCCACCCCATGCTCAGCGTAGCATCAATGGCGTGTTCAACTTCAAACGAACGTTCACATCCCCACCCCACCCCATGCTCAGCGTAGCATCAGTGGCGTGTTCAACTTCAACCGAACGTTAACATCCCCACCCCACCCCATGCTCAGCGTAGCATCAATGGCGTGTTCAACTTCAAACGAACGTTCACATCCCCACCCCACCCCATGCTCAGCGTAGCATCAGTGGCGTGTTCAACTTCAACCGAACGTTAACATCCCCACCCCACCCCACCCCAGCCCATCCCGCGTTGCCAGTTACGTGAACATAAGAGTGCAACATGGTGTGTAAGCTCAAAAACATGATGTGAAATTGGGAATGTTGAAAATGTGTGTCACTACACGTACGGTTTTGCACCCGTTAGCATAAACATAGCCTATGATTTCCTATGATTTCCTATGATTTCCTATGAATTCCTATATCCTGGGATTCCGTGAGATCTGCCCTGCCTCTTGTTCTTGGTGTACCCAGCTTGGGTCTGCCAAACCACGTTTCACCTCCTCACGGGTCTTCCTTCGGACGGGCCGTAAACGCCGCTCGGGGCTCCCCGGGCTCCCACTTCTTTGCTCCATCGCAGCCATCGCACGCACGTCCACTGTGGCCTCAAATTCTCAAAATTGTCAAATGAACATATTATATCATATTATATTATATATATATATATATATATATCACTATTATCTCACTGATTTCTCTCAAAATGGCAGTGATATGCAGTGATGAGATAATATGAGATGTAATATCTATGTAAAGAGATGTAATCAGGATGTAATCAGGATATTTTCAAGTTCACTGTCAACATGGGATTTCAGTCCATACATTTCGCTTTGACATGCCAGACCAAAATTCAACCATATTCAGCCTATAGGCTTTTTTGTTGCTCTTAGGATTGAGATTTCGGATGATTTTCGTCTCGCAGCTCAGTGTTCTCCGACCAACACTCTTCTTTCATGTCCGATTCTTTGGATAGGATAGCAAGGAAGCTCCTATTGTTTCTGTTGATTTCTGGCAAATCCTTCCAGAATATCCAAATCCTTGCATTTCTATGCATGTCTCTCATTTTCTCTCCATCTCTGTTTTCCGTTCATGGTCCTGGCACATTTTGGTAAGTTGCCTCTGGCTCCAAGTCACAGAGCCAACAGCCACGCAATGCTGACTGGAAGTTGCTGCATCCATCTTTGAATGTGCCTGGTACAGGTAGTAACAGTTGATCGAGTTTGATCATGAACAACTCTCAAAAAAGTATACTTCAAATGTTTTCAATTGATGCACGGATCACTGCACAAGTGTAATCTCTGCGAGGTAACTTTCTGTGGGCCTTTTCCAGCATCAGAGCAATGGAAGAGTCATAAGGGACATAGATCCCATCATCTCCTTGCCATTCCCAATACGGAGCGTATTGGTAAGCGATGTTTTGTATGGTTGAGCCATCAACCTGAGTGCTGAAGCCAGGACAATCGAAGGCAAAAAAGACCGAGTGACAGAAGCATAAGGCTAAGACGGCTAAGAAACATCGAAAAATGAATTCACAGGGCAGGGGCGGGCAGGGGGACTCCGGGCTCTCTCTCCGCTTTGACATCTTTGAATCATTTGTTTCTGACCTCTGGAGATTTCCGGCCTCCTGGCGCTTCTCTTTTCCCAGTCCGATGGTTCCCCCCATGGCGACGGAGAGCGCGCATCGAACCCAATCTAGAGCAGCTTACAACATCTCGAGAGTACAAAGTCGACAAGATCAGGCAAGACTACGATCATGAATCATGACAAACATCACAAATCTACAACTGAGAACTCTCTTACAGAAATATTTGACACCGGAACAAGATCTTCACATATCTTCACAGTCTTCACAACAGATCTTGACAGCTCAGTTCAATCCCGCCAAGGCACAGCATATCCTCCCTGTCCTCACCCTAGCGAATCAATGCGAATCAATGCGAATCAAGCCCATGTTCCAAGACCGGACAAAACAGGCAGAACCAATGTTTCAAGAGGCATTTTGTCACTTTGTCACTTTGTCACTTTGCAGTTGAATTTGTTGAATTTACAGCCGTTTGCAACCTTTCAGACTTTCAGACCTATCCCCTCCCTGGCACCCAAAACACCGTCAAATCCAAAACTTCCTGGGTTTTCCTCGGTTTTCCTCTCGGAGTAAAGGACCGTAAAGGAACACACAGAAAGTCTCGCCTCGCTGTCCTCGAGTCCTGGCGTCCGGTCGCAAAATTTGCAAACTTGGGAGACGAGGAACAAGTGAAATAAAAAAAACATACTAAAACCATACTAAAATCATATGAAATCTCAGCTGCATGGCATGGGCATGATCTCTCTCAAGGTGCCTGTGCTCAAGAGCGAAGGCGATGCCGGGCGCTTTGCCTGGCAGACGGTGGCAGCTTCGTATCGCATACGGTTTGTCGTTTGTTGTCGTTTGTTGGTTCATGGCCGTCATGGCCCAAGTTCATGGGTTAATGGGATACAACGCTGTCACGAGCTCAGCCCCACTTGGTTTGCAGCCTCAAGAAGCGGATCGGAGTCGCAGCGGTCAAGGCGTTCCAAGTCCAAAGCCTGAGGTGGACGGGCATAGGTTCAGCAGAGATCTTCGCTTCGCAAATGGCAATTTTGAGTTTGGAAACTTTAAAAGAATGGCCGTTCAATGTTGCCATGGCCAACAGAAACGCCAAGTCGCCACCACTTTCCGAAAGACACTGAATTGGAATTTGTCTGCGTGCATTTGGCGCACGGTTTTCTTAGGATTTGGAAACGGATCATCGGGATCATCGGGATCATCGGGACATCGGGCCACACCATGCAACATGGGGATGGCATTGGCTTGCAATGATTGCAATGGGTCTAAGCCACTGGCTGCTGGTAAAAGCAGTGGTGAAGCCTCAGGATAAAACGATGGCTGAAACCATTTGAAACCACAGACTTGTTTCGCCAAGTCGAGCTGATCCAAGTTAGGACAACAAATGTTTCATTTAGCAATTGTCTGTAGAGTCTGTAGTAGTGTTGAAGAATGTTGAAGATATTCCCAGCCAGTTGTCCGATAGCATTGGAATATCGTGTCCTAGCATCTTTTCCTTCCAATCGAAGGAGCACGAAGGACACGTAGGAGGAAAGGTGGAGGCAATGAGGCGACAGGAGCCATGAACCAAAAGATTTGGGCCCCAGCCATGCAGTCCGCCTGTATTGGCCGCACACGGGGCGCCTTTGGCACAGGTCGAAGCAAGGATATAGGCGCCTCGGACAAGACATAAAGGGTGCCTATGTATGGACACATTTGTCAGTTTGAAGCAGGATCAACATGCACATAAAGTAATATAAGCAATCTCATGCAAAGGGTGCGCACGGCTTTGGAAGGCAGTTTGCATATTACTCCTGTTGTGCTCATATATAATGGGTATAAGGAAAAGCCTGAAGGGACCCCTGAAAGGGGTACACCCAATTTGTTGAGTTCACAAATGTTCACAATATCACCAAAAAAAACGACTTTTGAACCTCTAAGCTCATGGTTCTTGCACAAAGTTGACGATGCTCGAAAGAACATGAAACTCCGAACTCCTTGAGACATCTTGTGAGATTTTGAAAAGCATCTTGTGAGAGTTACTTCTGCATCTTGTGATTTTACTTCATCGCTTCTGTATCTCAAATCTTCTCCCTTGAGCTCCGTACCCTGGCTCCAGGCCAAGAGGCAGTAATGAAATCCGCGTCTGGCGCCGCACAAACAAAGCAAGACTAAGTCCGAAAACAAAGGTGCCTTGTCAGCCTTGTCATTGTGAAAATTTATGATGATTTAAGTATATTTTAGTAGTTTGATACTTTTGATATCTTGTGATGCTCAAGTCATCATTGCACTAAGTCCTTCTATGCTATGGACATCCATAGACTGTCTACATCTATATACTCTACCCTTCCATCATCTACCAGTCTACACCTAGCAGTCAGCATCTGAGATCACACACCTGACATTGGAAAGGCGACTTCCTGCGGCGAGCACGGTCTGGACGTCCACCTCCATCGATCGAAATGTACAAAGCACGGCAGTTCATCAAAGTTCCTTTTGCCAACCTCGATCTACAGCGGCGAAGTGCAACGGTGCAACGGTGCAACGGTGCAACGGTGCAACGGTGCAACGGTGCAACGGTGCAACGGTGCAACGGTGCAACGTCCAATGAACTCGGGAACAGGACCAAGGTGGGCCCCAGCCTCCTCCCTCTCCGCTGTGCGGCACTTGCGTCACTGCACTTTCACCAAATCAAATATGTCTGAGCCAAAAGCAAAGCAGCCGCCAGGGCGGAGCGGACTCAGCAAGTTCTTGCTACGCAAAAGTATTCGAACCAAAAAAAGTGTCTCCCTTGCTTTCCATGCCACATGACTTTCCAACTCCGAACTTCTGACGGTTTTGACGGCTTACCTGCTCGCTTTTTCTTTACACTTTTTTGGGCTAATCGAGTTTGCGTAGGCCAGCATCTGGGCATCCAACACGGAGAAAAACCGCGCCACTTTGACAGCACTTTGATTCAAGATTGCTTGTGAGTGTTGAAACGGTTCTAAGCACAAATGCACCACAACAACCCAAACCAGTCTCAAAAACCTCGTCTTGACAGAACTATTGAAAGATGCGTCCGTCCAATGCTAGGGGTGAAACAAATCCACCGCTGTGGACGTTGCTTTTGTGCCAGCATAACTCTGACTCGTGACTGACGTTGCACCAACAGACTAGAGACAGTGAAGCTAGGATTCTACCAAAGCAACGTTCATTACGTCCTTGGTGACCTCCAGTGAAGACGAAACGTCACACCACTGTCACCTTACTTGCACAGGGCATGGGTGCTCTGATCATTTTCTGGTAGCGTGAGACTAAAGGGAAACTCGTAGCTTTCTCATTTCAATAGCTTTGTCTTCAATATTCTGGATCTGCGAGCCTATCAATAGTTGCGCATTGCTCGATCCACATTTGCCTGCTCAACGTTTGCTGGGACGGATTCTTTGGCAATGACTCAATGACTGCTTCGAACATTCTTCCGGCGTGGATTTCTGACTTCAAATGATTTCAATATCGTCGCGCCTTGCAAATGGGGCAGTCCGTGCACCTTCGCAGCCATTCGTCGATGCATTTCTGGTGAAAGACCTCATCTCTCGCTGTGACTTAGTGAGGAATCGCCCTGTTTCAAGTTTTCAAATGGATTGAAATATATAATAATATAGCACAAAAGAGAGTTGATCATGAGTCAGAACTTAGAACTTCCTACAAGGGATTCATGGCTTACAAATGTCAACTTGAACATTTTGAACATTGAAATCATTAGATAGTCTCGGATAGTCGGTGAACTTCTCCTATCCTCTTCTATCGATTCGGGAGTGAATATTGGGTACCTTTCTGAGACACCCGAGCGTGCTGACAGGGAAGTCGCCTGCATGGCATCGCCAGCTCAAAGTCCTCCAAACACACCTGCACGTGACATCTTTGACGCCAGGTGAAACTCCACGACCTCTTGAAAAGGAGTTCCAAGTAGTTCAAGTAGTTCAAGCAGTTGCAAGTCCAATCAAAAGGTGAAGAACTCAAATGATTCCTATTGAAACACAATATTGACATTTATTGAGTATAAATGTACAGCGTTGTCATTTTGTTGTCATTCTGTTGTCATTCTATGAGAATTGATTGCTTCACCCATGACACGAGCGCACCATGCAGGTTTGCTGCGCATGGCCGTGAGGAGGAGGCCAATCAAACCTGACAATTTGACCCTTGGGTTCTGTTTGGCTGGCTATATATGGTTATATTATGTTATGCCATATTTTAAAAAAAAAAACACGCACACACATGACACATCAACCAAACAAACCAATATAGACCAACATAAATCAATTACGACTCACAATGGACCAAAACAATTTAAGTCACATCTACGTTGCCGATACATCAGGTTTTGCTGCACTGCCCTTGTCTAATCTTCTGGCCTCTCTATCTCCTCAATAGTCTGAGGGAACAATCCCCTCCTCTGGTTCAGCATCTCCTACAGCATCGAGCAAAATTCAGTGGGACCATGACCAACCACAAAAATGAGACATACGAAAAAGGTAGACACAAGAGCAGAACCAGAAGGACTATGCAGGACTCTGGAACCCAACCTCAATCCAAGTTCCTTTAGAATGATCATACAAGCAAATGACAAAGGCTTGCTCTTTTGTAACTATAGTGTCCCGGTTTAAAAAAAAAATGAAAAGAAAAACACCCTCAAACCAATACCGAAACACTACAAAACAATTCCAAATGATCTATCTTGTATTATGTTGTTTATCTTTTTTGAGATAAGAAAGATTCTCTGTTACATGTATCTCTTGATTGTCTGTTCATTATCTATTATATCAAGGTATAGGTATTTAACATGTATCTATATGATGTTTTTATACATATATGAGGTTTTTTATATGTTACATTTCGACGTCGTTTCGTCAATTCGTCGTTTTCGTCGTTTTTTTTCCTCCACTTCTCGCGTCGATCGCTCGGAGCTCAGGAGCAACATCTGCAACCCCTGGGGGAGCTGCGCCACCTCCGTGCCGAAGACGACAGACATCGACAAACGGAACATGGACAGAACATGAAGTGCTTCATGTGATACGCAAAGCGATACGCAAAGTGATACGCAAAGTGCTTCAAGTGATCATAGAAATCTTATCTCTCTTCAACACAATCTGAAACAAGAGGCCGGGATGCACACAAAATTGAGAATTTGCAAAGGTGTTCATCCTTCAAACACATGATGATTGTCTGTGCCTGACTCATCAAATTTGGCGGCAGCAAATTCCGGAGGGATGGCTGCAATTGACCCCTCGATCCCATGCATCGATCCGATGCAGATCTCAAAACACTTCACCACTGGATCTATGTCTTCATATGACTTCTGTCTTCCAGTCTTGCAGTTGACTCGAAGATCTTCAAGTCATTAAAAAAAAACATAAAAATAGCCAAGCAACTCGCAAAAGATTGTGGTGCTTTTGCCAATGCGCGCAACGGTATCTGGTTCACAAGCAACAACCTCCATACAAATGGGCAGAGAACTCTGAGTTTTGTCACTAGATATTGTAACATGCCAAGGGGGAATCCAAGGGACAATTGCTGCGCAACCTGTGCTGGCTACGTTGCACAGTTGCACTTCACCATCTGACACTTACGGAGCTTGAAGGTCTGAAGGAGTCCAACTTGGCTCCACATGCTGAGCTGCCAAAGTCAGTGCAGCATCATTGCTGCCAAAGGAACCTTGAACTGCACGCCTTGATAGGTAAAGAATTCATTCGCCTGCCCACATCAAAAAAATTAAAAAAAGATGCCAAAAAAAAGATGAAGCAATTTGAGACTTCAAAACTGCACTTGATTGCTCCTTGCATCTCCTTGCTATGAGAGGCAGCTTGAGAGGACGTGGAGATGTTGACATATCGTTGACACATCCATGGGATTCCAGCCTGGTACTTTCTATGTGGATTGGCCACCAGGTAAGGCTTGAGGTAATCGCCAAAGAGCTCATACTCATACGCCCGGGGCAGCGTATCCTGTCAAGGCCCTGGCCCTGTGGCCAGGTTCCCACCGGGAAACAATTTCTGGCCCCATATTCTACATAGTAATTTATTATATTTGTATTACATATATATATACATATATACATATTACATAATATTATATATATAATACTATATATATATAATATACATTATTTTATATTCTTCACCCCATCATCTCTTCATCCCTTCACCCCCTTCACCCCATCCCGTCCATGAAGGGAAGGATGTGAACCTTCTCGAATTCAGGTGTCGAGTCCCAATTTGCGAAGATCTCTGTGTCGGTCTTGGTGGCTGTCAGAAACCAACCAGTCTCGTATGAACCCGCCCAGAATTCTGAACGTCTGTAGCCTGTGGCAAATTAAAGGGTCAATAACTCTGAAGGCTCAGATGGAAGATCCAAGTTGACAATGGGTCAAACTACTAAACTTTACTAAACCTTTATAGAATCGAAAGGCTATCAGCTCTATTTTCCCTTTCTCTGACACCATACATATGTAACATATCATATGTATCATTACTGTAGTTGCGTTGACTTTTGGTCCTCCTTTCCTCCTTGTGATTTGCACATCTTTCACATTGTTATCAACTCTTCATAAGAAGTGTTTATTGATCTTATTAAAGTTTATTAACGTTTATAAAGGTTTCACATTTTTTCAGACCTTGATATTGAAACCTTACTCATCTTACTCTTCAAACCTGGGGCCCCGAACGGAGACCAATCCAAGACCCGTTGGCTCAGTGGCCTCCACCTGCAACCAGACATCACCAACCTGTCGCGCCGGAGGTTGGAAAATCTGTAGAGATGTGTGAAAATCTGTGACTACGGGAAAATGATGAAAATGACCATGTGAAAATCTACAATAATCATCAATAATCTATATTGACATTGACATAATTATATCATTGATGTACAAAATCTCGTGACCCCTTGCGAGATTTTGAATGATGTTGAATTGATGTTGAATAGCTTTCATAAAAGGGTGGGCTTCGCAAATCTTCGCAACTCTTCGCACAGCGATGAGCCTTCACCACCTGACCCGCATACAACAAACGAACCCGCTTGGCATCGGGGCTGTAGGGCGCGTACCTTGGCACAAACTGATCCTGAGATCCTGAGATCCGAGAAAAACGGAGTAAGGAACTGCATACTGCATGTATACTGGGCATGCACTGGGCATGCACTGGGCATACTGGGCATACTGGGCATACTGGGCATACTGCATGCACTGCATAAGCTGATCCAGGCTGATCCAGGCTGATCGTGCAGAATTGATGTGAAAGTTCACTCAGTTCATTCGTAAGAGATGTCTGGAAGGTTTGAATTCGTTCACTGTGGCAAATCTGAAGTGGATTAAACTGTATGTAACCTTGGCCAAATCTTGATGACAGCTGCACTACAACTGCACGTAGCGAAAGACCAAAAAGATATGTTTGGATCTTTCTGGAGCATCAGCTTCCGAGACGAACCCAAAGCAACGTGCCAAAGTCGGCCAAAGGTGTCCGTTCTCTGGGTGCCAAGCTCTCCTTTGAAGTATGGCCTCACGTACCTTTGCCAACTGGGACTTTTGGCACTTAAAAGGAAACACGCATCCGAAAGCCTTCAAAGGATCTGAAAAAGACGTGGAGAACCTTGGAAAACATGAAAAAACATTAAAAAAAACACTTTGTGTTTGGTGAGCATCCTGCAGTATATGCAGTATGTAGAACACCACACTGGCATCCAAGCGGCTCGTTGAAGAGTTGCTCAGAAGAGAACTCCGTGGGTCCCCACGCACTGGCGCGTCTGAAATCTGTGTACCAACTGTACCAACCACTTCAAGAGACAAATCGTGAGACGAGCTTTCTGGTTCGCAAAGTTTGCAACACGGCCTGAACTGGATCTTCTGAAAACAAATGACTGGAGCTCCATCCACAAAGAAATCCTGACGGCAGGCCAAATTCCTTGTGGTTTATATAGTTGTGGCATCACAAGCCAGGAAAAAAAAGCATGTCCACCATCTTTAAGAAAAGACTGCGCCATTGCATCAAGTTGTTACACTAATTAAAAACCTGCAAATCAAGTCCGAGTCAGTCTCAACCCGGTTTTCGCTCCGTGTCCATCCCAAGGCAGCCCTGAGGAGGGTCACACCTAACAGGAAATGCCAAATCCTGCAACGCTGCACAGGTTGCACAGGACAGGTTGCACTGAGGGCCCCGCTTAATGACCACAAATTCGGCGTTTGATGCTTTCACCAAATCACCCGAACGAACCACCTGAGACAATCTCTGACATGTCGACAAGTGTCGATAAATGTCGATAACAGCGACTGTCTCATGTCATCAAACGGTCAAACTGAGAAGATCCAGGCTGGATCCCAAGAGAATCCGGTCGGAATCCGGTCGGAATCCGGTCGGAATCCGGTCGGAATCCGGTCGCCTCTTTCGTGTTCCGAATTTGACGGAGTGTATCTGCGAGAACATCCATGCGACCTCAGAACCATGGAGCAAGTTCCGACACCTCGCCCCAAGAGTGTGGGCAGGGTGGCTCCAAACCGTTGAAAGATATAAAAACACATTAAAACTACGGGGATCTGTACCAAGCATGTCGTTTCAAGTTCTGCCAGTCCAGCTGAGCCCCTAACTTTTTCCCTTGATTTGAGCATCTGCCTGAAAGACTAATCGAGTGTGAAAGGGTCTAGTGCTGTCCCGCGATCACGTTCCTTGCCTCCTTGAGGGGCAAGATGTGCAGTTTCTTTATGTTCTCCTTCGCACTGGCCAAATGGATCCAAATGGCAAGTTGCCCTTTAACACATCAACGAACCAACTTGCAAAAAAATATATGTACAGTCGCATTTGATCAAGTACCCATTAAGGAAGACTCTGCTCCTCACCATTTCCTGCGAGCCTCAAAGCTTTGGGATCCAAAATGCAACACACCATGAAAAACATCAAATGTTGACAGATCTTCTCTGTTTTGAAATGTTTTGCTGGACAACTGCACTCCAGCACAGCATCAAAAGATAAAGCGCTGCCTTTCTGCAGAAGAGCTGGAAGTAGCCTTGGGGACGCTGAACATGAAATACATGAACCGGGTTCATGAAAGATCATCAATAACCATCAGGAATCCGAAACATCTAGCAATCAAATTGACAAAAAATATTCAGACATGCTAAAAGTCAAAATGCGCATCCGAGTGCGGTGCCGCTTGAACCCCCAGTTCTGAATCAACCCCCATTTTATCGGGTCTGACCGCTAGGGTTTGAGCCTCAATTTCAACAACACCGCCAAGCTACAAAACAAAGGCTTTCAGGACACTCCCAGACTTGTTGGACATGTCATCTAGACTGCAAGAGTTCCAACCTTTTTCCGGAGCATCATTTTTGCATCGCCTCTCAGTTTGCACGAAGTTTGAATGTTGTGAGACGGGGCAGAACCCGCTGCCGCTAGCACTGTGCTTCGCTTCCCATCATCTGGCACCAAGCACCACCCGTGACGGTCGCTCTATCGCTTTTGCCTTTGGTTCCTTCGTTCCGCTCCTTCGTCTTCCCTCCACCTCTCCACCTTCCCTCCATCTTCCCACCCCGCCCTCGTCTTCAGCTGTCTCCCAAGCTGCGAGGAGTTTGCATCTAGTGAATGCGCTCTCCTGGCCAACAAGCTCGGAAGAAACCATGGAAGGAGCAACTACCTCGCCCTTTCCTGGGAACTGGAACAAGACATGCATCGCCATAAAGGACAGGCATTTGTGTATGTCAGCATCTGTGAAAGTGTATGCAATGAATATGCAATGTATATTCCAATGTAAGCCTTTGAGACGATCTGACACGGATCAGCCTCGTTTGCTCTCCTGTAAGGAGATCCGCGACGTCATCTTGGCGCAAACTCACCGTTTACCCCTGATCCATCATCTTTCAGGTCGTTTCAAGTCGTGAGGCTTTTCCACAGGAACTCGTACCTTGCCATGGATTCTCGACATGTTGGATAGATCACTGTCATATTTGCAGATAGATCACTGGTACTATTTGCGATAGATTTGCAAATAGTACCTACAACTTGGTCTTCAGGCCTTTGTTTCCTTCCTCAAATGGAAGGCCCTGTGGAAGAGCACAAAGGAACAGGGTCTTTCTAAATCATCCAACGCATTCAGCAATGTGCATGACAACTTCCGCAGTGATCGCAGAATGGCAATACATTAATAGCATTTACTTGCGAACGAATTTAATGACCCAAACAGCTCTGCAACAGCTGAAAGTAAGCGGCAGTATCAGGATGTCAACTAGAGTGAGCTTTCCCACTAGAATTGCTGAAACAGGAAGCAAATGTGGATTTCTATCTGCAAAGGTTGGATCTCTATCTGCAAAGATTGGACTTCTATCTGCAAAGGTTGGACTTCTATCTGCAAAGGTTGGATTTCTATCTGCAAAGGTTGGATTTCTATCTGCAAAGGTTGGACTTCTATCTGCAAAGGTTGGATTTCTATCTGCAAAGGTTGGATTTCTTTCTGCAAAGGTTGGATTTCTATCTGCAAAGGTTGGATTTCTTTCTGCAAAGCTTGGAGTTCTATCTGCAAAGGTTGGATTTCTTTCTGCAAAGGTTGGACTTCTATCTGCAAACGTTGGACTTCTATCTGCAAAGGTTGGATTTCTATCTGCAAAGGTTGGATTTCTATCTGCAAAGGTTGGATTTCTATCTGCAAAGCTTGCACTTCTATCTCTGCTTCTATCTGCAAAGGTTGGATTTCTATCTGCAAAGGTTGGATTTCTATCTGCAAAGGTTGGATTTCTATCTGCAAAGGTTGCACTTCTATCTGCAAAGGTTGGATTTCTATCTGCAAAGGTTGGATTTCTATCTGCAAAGGTTGGATTTCTATCTGCAAAGGTTGGATTTCTATCTGCAAAGGTTGGATTTCTACCTGCAAAGGTTGGATTTCTATCTGCAAAGGTTGGATTTCTATCTGCAAAGGTTGGATTTCTATCTGCAAAGGTTGGACTTCTATCTGCAAAGGTTGGACTTCTATCTGCAAAGGTTGGATTTCTATCTGCAAAGGTTGGATTTCTATCTGCAAAGATTGGACTTCTATCTGCAAAGGTTGGATTTCTATCTGCAAAGGTTGGATTTCTATCTGCAAAGGTTGGACTTCTATCTGCAAAGGTTGGACTTCTATCTGCAAAGGTTGGATTTCTATCTGCAAAGGTTGGATTTTTATCTGCAAAGGTTGGATTTCTATCTGCAAAGGTTGG